CCACCAAGTTCTCACCTCATCGTCTCGGCCAGATTTTCTCGTCTTCGGCATCCCAGTAGGCCGCGGCGGCACAATTGCTTTGTCCCAGCGCTGCTCTCCTGGACGGAATATGAGAGAGTTCTTGATCCATACACTTATTGCACCAAGACCTAGCACAGGTCCCATGGCGCGCAGCTCGGGTTTGGCTTTCTCCAGCGACAAAAAAACATATCGTAGTGCGGCGAGTCTCCAGTAGCGGAACATCCTGACGCTGTTTTAATAAAGAGAACACCTGGTGAACGCTGAACTTACCACCAATCAATAGGGTCAAATCCAACAATTGAAGACTCGATCAGCTCTTGGGTAACGTCTCTCAACATGTGAGATGTTGGGGAACCTGGAAAAACTGCTGCCCGAAGCTCCAGTCTTGCGGAGCCCTCTTGTTTGACTTCGGCTTCATGACCAGCGCAGGTGTCGTAGAGTACACCAAGTGACTCAACATCTGATAAGAATGACTTCAAGCGGTGGGGTAGAAGGTCCTGGGCTCTGTGTCGGCGAAATTGGCCTGGATGAATCTGATATGTCGCACACTTGTCTGTTGTGTAAACGTTGACATATTTTACATGGTCGTCGGCACCAAGTGTGGGTACCTCGACGCGGAATCCGGACAGGTCATAGAGCAGAGAACAGACATCCTTCTTGAAATGTCTTCCCTCGATGGTCTGCGAAATTTCCTCCACTGATGGGGTTGGCAGAGCATACTCCAGTACCTTTTGATGACTGTCAGTACGCCATTGCAGCGCTAGGCCCGGTGCATGGATCTCCACTCCAACATCAATGTACCACTGGGACATGGGGATTTGAAGCATCTGGCCCGTCTCGAATGTTGCGAAGGCATCGTCGAAAGCGTCGTCACAGTCTTGTGGGTTGGCTGCGCTGTGCATGGTTCTCCCCTTGATTCCTCGTAGTTCGTGCACGAAGAAGCTGTCGCGGAAGACCGGGTGGTTGTTCAAGTTGGTGTGGAGAGTTGTTGCAAAGTCGTGCAACTTGCGGTGAGGTATGTCCCGGGTCGTGAAGTGGAACTGTTTTCGCATATCCCGCATGGACATTAGACATGCTTCATAATTAACGGGCCAATGAGCGATGGACTTTGGCTCAACAGCTACAACCGTTGGCCTGATGCAGGAGTCATATAGGAGAGCCATTTCCTCTTTGCTGACGCGAGGAATGCCTTCTGGCTTGTACATATGAGGGAAGAAAATCATCGTCTTCTGCCGATGACCGGCGGTGCCTAGGCATACGTTTGGAATTCGATGAAGGTCAATCTGGCGCGAATGGTCCCAGTGCTGGTGTTAACGCGTTATATAAACGTTTTCCAATCTACGTCTGATCACTTACAGCCAATCGAATTGTTTTCTTCAGATGATTTGACTTTAGTAGGCTGTCTCTGAAGTTTGCCGCTGGGTAAACCGCCAACGAGGTCCGCAAGGGGATGTTTGTGGTGATTCCGATAATGGAGTCGAAGTCTCTGGTAACCGCGATGTTGTCGATATCGGCAGGGGACACGCAGTCCTTGAAGACGTTTATATTCAGACGTCTTTCTCCCGCGGCCGTCTTTTTACGTCCTGCCAGCACAAGCCTGACAAAATCGGGGACTGTGAGGCGTCCTGTCAACGTTTCCTTGGCGAGCTCCACAAATTCCTGCATAGATAACGTTTCCGTCGGTAACTGCTCGTCAGGATATGGCGGCATGGTGAGTGGTGAGTCGTTGGCCGCCTTCAGGGTGTCGGATACTGTATATATCTGCAAGACACAGCGCCTTTGTGGCTGACGGTTTGGCTGATTTGCAAATTTTGACCGTACAGCTTCATGATAGTCCCCACCTGATACCACATGCACAGTTGCACAGATCTTAGGTGGGCTCGGGGCAGCCGCCAGTGGCGGCTTGACGCTGCTGTCACCAACGTTAACTTTATTCGCGGATCGCGCTACGGGAGGGTGCGGTCGCCACCGGCGACCATGGGCAAGAGCGAGCATCTAAAGTAATACTGCTTTCGACTCACTAGCACTGGCCGCTAGTGATGTGCGGGCCCGGCTTGGGCTCAAAGCCCGGGCTTGCCAAGCTTAGGACAAGTACTTATATGCTACGAAAGTGAGCATATTTGTATGTGATAGGCTGCTATTGCATGTACCCACCGTACTGCAGCCTCCAGTGGGCATGCAATCGTGCTACAAGCCATGTTAGGACAAGGTTCGCGAAGGGGCGCCTACGGCGAATGCCAGGCGGTGGCGCACAATCGCGCCTAGCCACACTAGCAGGGACCGCCCAGTCTGGTAAGTCAACGTTTTGTCTCGTATGTGTATATAAAGTCGTTCTTACCTTGTTTTGAACCCAGGGAACGGCAACACATTTGGTGCAACCCAAGCCTGGGCTTTCGGGCCGGGTTGGGCTTGACTACGCTCCGAGCCCGGCCTTGAGCCCGCTGCCAGACTTGGCTCGGGTCAGGCTTTTTGGGCCGGGCTTGGCGGGCTTGCGGGCCCGACCCGCACATGACTACTGGCCGCCACTGGCGACCACTTCGATGAATTGCTGTTGCCGTGCGCGGGTCCAGCGCATGGGAGGCGTAACCGGAGAAATATGTTAACGTGCTCCATCGTCACTGTCGAGCAATTTCTGTTCGCATGCAGGGGAGCCGCCGCTGGCGGGCAGGTTTAGTTCACGTCTGCACGCCTCTATATAACAACTGTCATAACAACAGTCATAACGATGTGAACAATAATTCAACAACACCATTTTATGTAAAACGAGCGAGAACTCAAAAACATTAGCACGATATCAAATAATGCTGACCAGCTTAGCGGCACACGAGGGCCGCCGCTGGCGGGCAGGTTTAACTTGTCTTCGAGTACGCATTTCTACGCACAGTTGTAGTGCCCGTCATAATCACAAACTATCACCACCACCGCAACGCAAATGATACTATAAAATCGACCAATACCCTATACGGCAACATCGGCAAGATATAGCAATCCAAATTTGGCACATGTTTTGTAATTTCAAATCATATCTACCAACGGCTAGCTGTTTTCGTGGTACAAGCACACGTGTGCTCTATCCAAGTAGTCAGTACTGGCGCTCGTACTGTCTGATCGCACCTGTCTGATCGCACCTACCTGATCATCATCTGAGACTGAACCTCTTCATGGTCTCCGGTCCCTTGACATATTGTGGATTTGCCGCAATGAAAGGGCTGGATTCAATTTTTTCTTCTGGAAGCGCTATACACCCTGCCATGGGTTCTTTTCTCGTTGCCCACATCGCTCCTTTCTCCGTTCGAGGCAGCCAGAGAAACTGGGATACCTCGTTCCTCATCAGCATGACGACGAGAGAGGCGTTGTCATCGTTGAGTCGATTAAGCAACGTTGTCCAAGCTTTGAAGTAAGTGCAGGCAGGGTAGGCGGTGGTACTGGCCGAGGCCATATGAGCTTTCCCAGGTAGCAGATTTTCGACGACAGTATCCCAGACCGTCTCCGAGCAATGAAGAACTCGAGCAGATATGAAAGGTAGGTCGAAGTGGAAGTATAGCTCTGGAGAGACGGCTGTGATCTCAGCGAGTCCCAAGGTGGTATAGGCGCCTCCTCCTCCTCGTCTGTTCGGCGATTTGTTCATAATGTCATGCGCAAGTTGGCGGTACATTCGATTGAGTACCTCGACAAGACTGCCCTTTAACATGTCGTCGTCCTTGTCGTATCTGGAGACAGGCACTCCGCGAGTGTCCCGACCTCTGCGCGTTGCCGGCTGTGTGAGTTGAATGTCGAGCTCTGCAATATTGTCGAACGTCAACTCTGCACCTAGGGGCCTTTTCGACACCGCGTCAGCGAGAAGAGTGTCCTTTCCTTTGTGTAAGCGACGGTTGGTTCGATAGTTGAGCCTGACCAGTTTAGTTCGATGGGAACCGAGGTGGAATTGTCGACGCAAGTGGCTTGCCGACTCTTGCCGATATATGACGATAAGCAGCTCTTCACTCAGTTTGATCCTCTTCGGGACTCGATAGAACCACGCATTCGGTTGGTCTCCGATAGAATTCTGGATAACGTCCGCAACGAAGTAGGCCCCTCGCTCTTCGATCCATGGTTTGGAGTTGCCTGCATTGTACCCCATTTCAGCCTGGTTCGCGTTCGACGCAGTAGGAACAAATTGATATGCGACTTGGTCCAACAGTTCGCACATCTCTTTGCTCTCTAGCTGAGGGATGACACAGCTGTTGAGGATGCTGGTGCAAACAGCACCCAGAGCTAGTGATTCTTCCCAGATGCAAACATCCGGCGGAGCGTCGGACAGCCTTTTCATCACTGCCCGCACAGCGCTGATACGGAGAGCACGGAATTCCCTAAGAGGTAAACGGAATGTAACTCTAAAGTAGCACTTGTGCAATATGAAGAGTTGCTTACCACCAGGCTTTGCGTGGCAATTGATACAGCAATAGATCTTGCTGAGGAAACACTGCTAGCGCATCTTGCAGGTGAATGAGCTTGATGTGAAGTGCTAGAGTTGCTGAGGCATCTCCAGAAGCTTGAGAAGCAAGTTTGAAGCACTGAGACTGAGCTGCTAATGTGGCTCCAAAAAGTTTTGGCATGCGCTGCGGAAATGTATCTTCTGGCCTGAACACTTTCCAGCCAGGGAGTTTTGCTGTTTCAGCCTCAGTGTGGGTCTTGAATTCGATGCGCAAGATCCCATCCTCCCCGGGTGACATGTCAAGGGTAGTGTCTTCCAGCGCATAGGTGAAAGCTCCCGACGTCGATTTCTTCTTTTGAGAGAGCTCGGCCTTCATTGAACCGTCCATGCGAGGCAAGAACATGTCGATACAGTGTTCGAGTGCTTGCGGCTGCCATAACAACGCTTGATTGTCCTTGCGAAAAGTGACTGAAACTCTTCCTACCCAGCCCTCAAAATCTTCATTTGTTATCAGCATCTCCAAAGGTTCGGTGGCTTTGTTCGACTCGTACTCTCTGGTGGCCTCGCTGTTATGAGGACTAGTAGGGGTCGGCAGGGGTCGAATTAGATGCTGCTCCATCCACAAGTGCTCATTAGCACCGGTGTGAGAGAGTACGCGCTCTGGGCGGATATTGTGCACCGACTCACTTGCCCGGATGCTGTACACATGCATCCACAAGAACGCACACGCTCTGGGCGGACACTATGAACCGACTCGCCACAGCGCTGTGGT